GGCACCAAGACCACTTTATTAAGCTGAAGTGTTCTGGGTGGCTAGAGTGGTCCTTTAAGAGTGTTGTGTGTGTGTGTGTGTGTGTGTATATATATATATATATACACACACACACACATATATATATTTGGAAGTATTGTGTATGTGTGTGGTGCAGTGTGTTGGGGGGGTTCTGTGTGTATGTGAGGGGTGCAGTATGTGTGTGTGTGAGGGTGCGGTGTGAGTAATGGGTGTGAGAGTGCCGTGTGAGAGTGCCCTGTGTGAGATGGGTGTGAGAGTGCTGTGTGTGAGAGTGCTCTGTGAGAGTGCTGTGAGTGTGATGGGTGTGAGAGTGCTGTGTGAGAGAATGCTGTGTGTGTGTGAGAGTGCTCTGTGAGAGTGCTGTGAGAGAGTGCTGTGTGTGATGGGTGTGAGAGTGCTGTGTGAGAGAGTGCTGTGTGTGTGTGAGAGTGCTCTGTGAGAGAGTGCTCTGTGAGAGAGTGCTGTGTGTGAAAGTGCTGTGTGAGAGAGTGCTGTGAGTGTGATGGGTGTGAGAGTGCTGTGTGTGATGGGTGTGAGAGTGCTGTATAAATGTTATTGTGTGTGTGTGTAGGGGGGGGTAAATAAAAAAATAAAAAAAACAGGCATTATTCCCCCCCCCCTTCTTACCTTTAGCCTGGAAGGGAGGGGGGGGACCGGCACGCTGGGACTGGGAGGGGGGGTCCGGCACGCGGTGTTCCCTGGTGGTCCTCGTGGGTGAGTGAACTCTAGCCTGTGAGGCTAGAGTTCACTCTCGCGAGATCCGGTTGTTGCCATGGCAACGTGCCGGATCTCGCGAGAGGAACCCGGCGGAGCTGCAAGTTAGAGCTCCGCCGGGTCCTCTCTCCAGCCTGGCTGGCTGTCTCCCTCTCCCCGCCGGCGGCCGCATGTGGGCCGGTCAGGGAGATCCTTGATCTCCCCACCGGCCCTCCATGGCAAACAGCGGGGCCGGCGCTCGGATAGTGCCGGCCCTGCATAGACCGGCAGGGGAGATCCTGGGACCTCCCCTGCCGGCCTCGGCCCATGGCCACCGCGGCCCACCGGGCATTTGCCTGGTGTGCCCGATGGCCAGTCCGGGCTGGCCTGTTGGTCAACAGATCCACTGATAGCGAACACACCCGCTTTAAGGATACCTTCAACTGCTGGCCCAATCTATAACAGTGAAAAAAAGAGTTTTTTAAATCCAAGCCATTGTGACACCAGATCTAATTGCGGCACTGGTCACCGTGATTCACCGTTAGCGAATACTACCCTTCGCTTAAGGACACCGGACTGCTATTCAATCTATAAATAAGTGGTGTGCGTTTTTTAAATCCAAGCTATTGTGACATTACCAGATCTAATTGGTGGCACTGGTCACCGTGATTCACTGTTAGCGAATACACCGCTTTAAGGACACTGACTGCTATTCAATCTATAACAGTGAAAAAAGTGTTTTTTTAAACCAAGCCACAGACACCAGATCTAAGTGGTGGCAATGGTCACCGTATCCACTGTTAGCGTAACACACCCGCTTTAAGGACACTGACTGCTATTCAATCTATAACAGTGAAAAAAAGTGTTTTTTTTTTAAATCCAAGCTATTGTGACACCAGATCTAAATGGTGGCACTGGTCACCGTATCCACTGTTAGCGTAACACACCCGCTTTAAGGACACTGACTGCTATTCAAACAATAACAGTGAAAAAAGTGTTGTTTTTTTTAAATCCAAGCTTTGTGTCACCAGATCTAATTGGTGGCACTGGTCAACAGATCCACTGATACGCAACACACCCGCTTTAAGGACACTAACCAAGCGTCCAATCTATAACAGTGAAAAAAGTGTTTTTTTTTTTAAATCCAAGCTATTGTGACACCAGATTTAATTGGTGGCACTGGTCACCGTATCCACTGTTAGCGTAACACACCCGCTTTAAGGACACTGACTGCTATTCAATCTATAACAGTGAAAAAAGTGTTTTGTTGTTTTTAAATACAAGCTTTGTGTCACCAGATCTAAGTGGTGGCACTGGTCACCGTATCCACTGTTAGCGTAACACACCCGCTTTAAGGACACTGACTGCTATTCAATCTATAACAGTGAAAAAAGATTTTTGTTTTTAAATCGAAGCTATTGTGACACCAGATCTAAGTGGTGGCACTGACTGAAATGGGCACAATGTACTGTGAGCCTGACACAGAAGCTGGCAGCAGTGGCAGACAACTGACTGCTATTCAATCTATAACAGTGAAAAAAAGTTTTTTGTTTTTAAATCAAGCTATTGTGACACCAGATGTAAGTGAATTGGCACTGACTGAAATGGGCTGGTAATGCACTGTGAGCCTGACACAGAAGCTGGCAGCAGTGGCAGACAACTAAGTGCAATTACATTACACAGAAAAAAAAAAAAAAAAGCATACCCTAACCCTAACCTAGCTATGCATTTCCCTATCTAATCAACAGCAGCTACACTTTTCCCTCCTCTCACTAAGCATGCAGCTTGAGAATGAATGTAAAATGGATGCCTTCCAGTAGGTGGGAGGGTCTGCTAGGGAGGGTGTGCTGCTAATTGGCTGGAATGTGTCTGCTGACTGTGAGGTACAGGGTCAAAGTTTACTCAATGATGACGAATAGGGGGCGAGTCGAACCGCGCATATGTTCGCCCGCCGTGGCGAACGCGAACATGCTTTGTTCGCCAGGAACCGTTCGCCAGCGAACCGTTCGGTACATCACTAATTATAAGTAATTTAGATATATATATATATATATATATATATATATATATATACACAAATATAGATAGATAGATAGATAGATAGGTGTTAGATATACATATATTGATTTATGGGCAACTTTTGATGTGCATATGGGATACCCTCTATTACAGAAACATATTTTGATGTTTTTATTGTGTATTTGTTGTATGTGGAATGAAGTCACATCTGATTTACTTTCATTATTTGTTAAAAATGTCCATCCAATTCTATAGCAGAATAAATAAAGAATTAGACTTATAAAATAAAGAATGAACTAATTTAATTTATTTCCCATTTTTTAATAAATGCTGAATGTGAATAGTAGTTATTATATTAAAGAAATATCTGATCAACTGTGGGGAATTGGTGTTTGGGCATAGTACATAAAGAGTAAGCAGGACAATGTGAATTTCCTCTCTTCCCTTTAGATGCATTTTACAATGTTAATAGCAGTTTTTTTTACTTTATAATTTTGTTCAGTTCCTGCTCATGTTTCTGAATCTAAATTTTTTGGCAACTACTTGGCAAGCACAAAAGTCATTAAAATGTAATTTTATTCACATCCACTGCAGTCTATAGGTTCCGTTAAAGGTGCAGAACATTCAAATAACTTTCCTTCCAGCTCTTTAGTTCCTGGCAGGGAACCAAATTTCAGTGTGCAGATCAGATCGGAAACACAACCTTTGATACTGTAATCCCCAATAGTGCCATCTGCAAAACAGAGAGTCAGTTTAAATCAACAACTTTTTCAACTTGTTTCATATAAAGGTGAACAAATATATTGACATTCTGGGACATAAAAAATATTCTACATATTAATGTTAAAGTTCACGAAGAAAAATAGCTGCAGTATTGTGTTAAATTGTATGTCTGTGTAGGGAGTGTTAGGCATGCAGGGATTGAGCTGGGGTCTAGTGTGGAGAGGAGTCAGGAGAGGGCTAGTACAATTGGCATAGAAAAGGACAATCTTGAATCAAGTGGAGTAGGATTAGGTGGTTAAGTTTCAGAATGCCAGGGTAGTAGAAAAGCATATGTCTAGACAGGTTAGGAAGTAGGAGGGCAGTCACAGGCTGTAGGATCAAAACAGAGAGGTAGACTTGGACCCAAAATTTTCGAGCAAAAGATCATTATTGACTGATGACAGGTATAAAGGACAGGTAGACTTGTGAAGAGAAGACATAGGAGGTCTGCAGAAGGAGGTACATTGTGCTGTTAGTGTCCTTGGTAAGCACCACATCATACAGAACATCAAATACCAGCTTCATGGCTGTAGGAGGGAGGTGAATTGGAGGCATGCTATGCAAGGGGAACGTAAAGTTAATTAAAGTGGAATATTTAAGCAGCAATGTTTTGCTTTTCAGGATTTGTTTTTTTAAATAATACGTTTTATTGTCCCTCAGTATTGAGGCCTTGTTTTCATATTTTTTTTTAAATTTACCCTTTTATTTTTAAAGTAATACATAAGAAAAAATAGTGGGCTATGAGAAGCTTTCTTTAGTATTGGGAGGAGTCTTTGCAAAGTCCCAATTCAGCTGCTAAACTAATTTAGCCACAATCCATCAGTCAGAAGAATCCCACAGCAGGACAAACAGCAGACATCAGGCAGGACAGATGAAAACAAAATGGCAGCACCAAGATATTGAGATCCGGCACAAGGAAGAAAATTATAATAAATATAAATAAAGGCATGGGCAACCACAGGAGTATAATAATTAAGATACCGTGGACATAAAGAAAGGAAAATTGCAGGCAAATAAAAACATGACCATACTGCTTTAACTAAAATTGTTTTTAAAATATTACACATCAAATCGTATAATGATGTACTAATTAAATGTTATGTTTTGTTTTAAAGGAACCGACAAAGAGAAACCCAAAGAATAAATGGTGTTTTAGAGTTTGTATGTTGACATTTATTTTTAAAATGTATTTTTACTTATTCGGTGTTAGGGAAGTTTGCAGTTTTTAACTTGACTCTGTCTCCTAATACCTCACAGAGGCCATATTTATATTTTGGTGAGATAGTGACAGCAGACACAATTTGATGAGAAGCATGAAAATAAGTCAGCAAGTATTCTTATACTTAGTAAGTGCTGTTAAAAGTCTCATCAGCCAGGAATTAAGAGTTGCTAATGGTAGGATTTTACAGTTTGTATACAGCAATTACTCGCTAAAAATTGCTTAAAAATTGCAACCTTATTTTAGTGATTACCAGCTTGTCAGTAAAATTTACTGGACATTTCAAATGGATCCTATGTGGGTTGTCCATTTGGTCCCAGCATAAATCCAAGATCCCATTATTATCATTATTTTGATTGTATTTATTAGAATGTTCTAAAAGTGATTTAAAAAGTGTTGATTTTTTCATAGTATATTCTGCCAGCCTTCCAGTGTGAATTTTGTGGGGTAGGCTGTGTGTAGTGTAGAGAACGTAGTCTGTGTTTAGTAGGGGAAGCTGTGTGTGTTGTGTTGAGATTGTAGGGTGTGTTTAGTAAGGGGGTTGTGTGTGTGTGTGTGGGGGTGAAGGATGCAGGAATGCAAAATATGTTTAGTAGGGAAGGCTGGGTGTATTGAGTAGATTATGTAGTATATGTTTAGTGGGTGTTGTGTGAAGAATGTAGGGTGTGTTTAGTTGGGGAGGTTGTGTGTGCTGTGTGGGATATAAATGCAAAATCATGTAGTTATACTGATCATTTTATTAAATGCACATTTTTCCTATTGTTCCCAATACCTGCTCTGCTTAGTTTTCCTATATAGGAAAGACATTTAATCTGATTTCCATGACATGCCACTCGATCTCTGGAAACACATTCATTTGATGTGTTGTTTCTGTAGCAAGACTCACAATATTTTCCAGTTGGTTCACCCAAGTTGTCCACATCTGAAAAAGATGAGATTATATTATATATACAGACCCAAATGTCCTGGGACAAAGACAGGAATCCATCTAAGTAAAATGCATATATCAGATCTTTGAAAGGAATCATCTAGGCACCAGAACACCAGAAGAACTTCATATTTTTGAAGTGATTTTTCTTACACTATTTACGATTTACCATATACTAGTAGCTATCAAAAAGACAGCAGTTAATGGCTTCAGGCAGAAACAGTTTCAGTTATTGAGTCAATTTGACGTCCAATATACATGTAAAATATGCTCAAACTGCTGTGTGCATCCAACGCTTCTGATAAAAAAGCATTGGATTGGTGGATCACAGAAAAAACACATTCACTGTGTGCTCTCAATGCTTCTCTGTGAGACGTAATCAAAGCTAACACATGAATACAATGAGAATTAAAAATATACATTAATTTATATATTTCTACATTTATTTTTGGAGCATTATTTTCATTATTTTTGCCGTCTGTCAATAATTAAAGGGACACTGTAGGCACCCAGACCACTTTACCTCATTGAAGTGGTTTGCGTGCACTGTCCCATCACTCTTAACCCTGAGCATGTACTTACTGAAGTTTTTACTAAACTTTATTAATTACCTGCTTGGGTTAACTTCTCCTCTAGCGACTGTCTACCAGACAGTCACTAGACGGACTTCCGGGTGCTTAGACGACTTTTGGTTGTCTAAACGACGCTGGACATCCTCGCGCTATGCATGAGGACTTCTAGCATCACCGGAATCCCCATAGGAAAGCATTAATTAATGTATTCCTATGGGGAAATCCAAATGCGAGCGCATCCATTGCCGTGCTTGCGCATTAGGTCTCCCCCTGCCAGCATATGATAGGGGAGAAGTGTGAGCGGAGCCTGACCCAGTGCCAAGGGACACAGCGCTGAATTCAGGTACATACAGATTTTAGGCACTATGACCACTTCTAATCGCTGAAGTGGTGCCTGGAGTAACTCTTTAATCTCAGAAATGTTTGTCTTTTTTACACATCTTCTTAAAACTGAACTCTTGTATAAAGTATACTGTACCAGTAAGCATTATACTGTTCATGGTTATATGCTTAATATTTATTTTGATGACATTTCTCTTAATACAAAAAATGGAAATAGATCTGGGTTCAACATGATAAAATAAGAATATTTATAATTTCTCACATATCCTGTAAAACATTTAAATGAATATCTGAGGATGTATGAATACCTACAAACAAATTGTGTTCCTTTGTTACATAGATCTTCTTTACAATATTCAATGTTTACAGTAGTTTTTAATTGATCTTTGTCATTGAGAGCTAACACTTGACTTTCATTTATTCCTTCAGCACATCCTTTTTTTATTGCCGGCACGTTGTAGGAGTCTATAGATATAAAAATTGACAATTAGTTTTGAAAATACATTTGATATATAGACCATGTTGAAAAATTTGTGTCTTCAGTTCAGCCTTGAAGGATTCAGCTGCTTACCGGTTTACCGTACTTCAAAGTAACTACAAAGAACCAACTCTAATAGATTTTATGATATTTATGTAAAATGAGAACATGATACATGTGGGTCTCCTGGAGACAGAGAATGGGAAAAATAAAGGGAACATTACTAAAATAAAAAAATGGAGAAGGAATATAGGATTGTAAAGAGGATAGATTGGGACAGGTGCGTAGGAACTGTGGAATATATAGGAGAGAAACTTCATTATTACAAAATGTTTCTGGGGGAGAAAGGAGGAAAGCTTGAAACACAGGAAATAGAGAAATGGAAATAGATTTGCACAAAAACGTTGGAAGACTGAGATGGTCAGAGTTGGCATAAGTGTGAGTTAGCCATATTGGTTTTATTAGGGTGTCTAAGAAGGGGTGGTGCAAAAACTGCCCTGTGCTTTTGGGGTTTTCACTGAGGTAGAGAACCTACTCAAATGTATCAGACCCGTCGGGGGCAGGGCACCAAGGGAATTGCGGTCACACTGTGTTCTCTCTCTGCACAGTTCCCTTGTGCTTCCTGTACAGATATGATTGGATATCACTTTGACCCCAGCATCACTACAAGGGAGCTGTACAGACAGAGGACTTTGATTCCAACTGCCTCATCTAAAAATCAAGGAGAGGATTCATTCTGGCTCACCTAGTTATGGTAGGGAGGCAAAAATAAATAAATACAGATAATTTGTGAGTGAATATGAGTATGTGTGCAAGAATTAAAAATGTGCACAGTTCATTCATTCATAACGAAAAATGTTTGGTTGATGATTCATTGGCTTCCTATAAAATATAGAGCTCAATTTACAATTCTGGTTCTTGCTTTCAAATCTCTACATAATGCTGCTCCCACCTATCTATCCTACCTTATACACAAGTATGTCCCGTCTAGGCCCTTACGATCTGCTGAAGACTTACGTCTATCTTCTGTCCCTACTCCCACCTCTGATGCTCGCCTTCAAGATTTCTCGAGGGCTGCACCGTTCCTGTGGAACTCGCTTCCCTCCTCTGTTAGATGCTCACCAAGTCTCCACTCCTTCAAAAAATAGTTAAAAACCCACTTCTTCATAAAAGCGTATCAATTAAACTGTTAATAGCTCCTGACTGATTCCTCTTCTGCAACTGTCATTAGTCTAATACTATCCTTACCTTTTTGTGTCATTTTACCCCAATCCCTCTAGCATGTAAGCGCATTGAGCAGGGCCCTCAACCCCTCTGTTCCTGTGTGTCCAACTTGTCTAGTTACAACTACATGTCTGTTCGTCCACCCATTGTAAAGCGCTGCGGAATTTGACGGCGCTCTATAAATATCATAATAATAATAATAATTCTTCCAAAATTCTCTCAATTGTATTTGATTCGTCCATAACTAGATACAAATTTTTTGTTTGGTAACAAATCTTTTATGGCCATTTATCTCTCTCTGGAAATGAATGAAGCAAAAATGTGGAAGTCAGAATAACTCCTAATGGGGGATGATTAATACACTCAGAAAAGCAGTCAATGTAAACAAATGAACAAATGGTGCTGCACGAAATTTGTTGGGAGATCCATTAGTTCATTTGGTTGCTCTCAACTCTTTTAATCATTGTTAGTTTTTGGATGAAATGAGCAAAAAAATAAAAACTCTAATTTATTTGTTTATTTGTCCAAAAACAAATGGACATGTCTGGTAAGAATCTGTGTTGGATTATATGTGTGTATGAGAATGAGAATGAATGTGTATGCCAGAATGTGTGTATACACTCACTTTAGTGTACATCTCTGTTATTTTATTATTATTTTTTTTTGGAGGAGTAGGAGGCACTTATCAAATTCACTTTATACAGGAGCATGGGCGTCCACAGGAATTTTTTCCATGGGGGTGGGGCATAATTATAATGACATCCATGTTTGACCCCTTTTTGACACTGTCATGAAGGGGAGGAACATAGTCATTATCACATAATCCAGGGTGAATAGCGTTTTCACAACTATGTTGTCAGGAATACATGTTTGTTTTCCTGACACTATAGTGTTCCTTTAATCAAATTAAAGGAGAATTCTGGTCATCATAACAACTTCATCTAAATGAAAATGATATGATGCAAGGAGGCCCCTGGGCGCACTCTTTCCATTAAGGGGTGAAACCACTCTCAAATTGTTTAACCCCAAAGGCTGCCTCCAGCTTTAGATCTCCAGGTTGCTCAGTGGTATTCAGCTTCTGAAACGGAGTGTCAGGAAGTGCAGATTGATGTCAGGCATGGGTGCCACTAGAGTGGTCAACTGACGCTCTAAGTCAATCACTAGTTCCCGATTCATAAACATTTTTAAGTTTTTACGAGTGGGGAGCTACTGATTGGCTTAGAGTGCCAGCTGAATGGTGTAGAACAGCAGCCTCATCCTTACCCAGCGGCCCTCTGTGTTTCCTGACACTCAGTAAATAAAAGTGAACACATTATGTGATATGTTTTTTACCTGGAGAGATGAGAAGGTCCAAAGTTTCCTGCCAGGTCCAGGTACCACAGCCTTATGATGTGGTTTCTTCTGACACGTCTTATCTCCTCCTTGGCACCATCTGCTCCTTTACCTTTCTGCCTATTTTGCGCCCTTCTGCTCCTTTCTCTTTCTGATCCCTTTCTTCCTTGCAGACCCTTCCTTCTCCTTGCAGCCCCTTTCTGCCCCTTCCTGCTTCTTGCAGACCCTTCCTGCTCATTGCTGCCCTTTTATGGGCACTCCTGCTTCTTGCAGACCCTTTCTGCTCCTTGCTGTTCATTTATTTTCCTTTTCCTACTTTAGGTGCCCCTTCTGTACCTTACATATAATTGTTGACCCTTTCTGCTTCTTGATTTCCCTTCCTGCTCCTTTCTGCTCATTGCAGACCCTTCCTCATTCTTGCTGCCCCTTCCTGCTTCTTTCTGCACCTTCCAGCTTCTTGCAGCTGCTTCCAGCTCCTTGCTGACCCTTTATTTTCCATGTAGACCCTTTCTGTTCCTTGTAGACCCTTTCTGTTCCTTCTCCTACTTTACCTTTGTGCTCCTTCTGATTCTTTCTGCCCCTTTTTTCTCCTTGCTGCCCCTTCCTGCTCTTTGCAGACCCTTTCTGATCCTTGCAGACCATTTCTGCTCCTTGCTGCCTCTTCCTACTGCTTGCCCATCCTGCTCCTTGCTGGCCCATCCTGCCCCTTGCAGACCCCTCCTGCCCCTTGCAGGCCCCTCCTGCTCCTTGCTGACCGCTACTGCTTCGTTCTGACCCATCCTGCTCCTTGCTGCCCCTTCTACTTCACCCTCCTGCTCCTTGCAAACCTTTCCTACCCCTTCCTGCTTCTTGCTGCCTCCTCCTGCTCCTTCCTATTCCTTGCTAACCCCTCCTGCCCCTTGCAGAACCTTTCTGCTCATGTCTGCTCCTTCTACTTTACCTTCCTGTAGGCTGTCTCCCCACCATCCGTCACTTACCTGATCTGTAGACTGCCCCCCATCTCTCACTTTCCTGATCTGTAGGCTGCCCCCCTAACCCTCACTTACCTGATCTGTAGGCTGCCCCCCACATGCCTCACTTATCTGATCTGTAGGCTGCCTTCCATGTCTCACTTACCTGATCTGTAGGCTGCCCCCCATCCCTCACTTACCTGATCTGTAGTCTGCCCCCATGCCTCACTTACCTGATCTGTAGGCTGCCGCCCCATGTTTCACTTACCTGATCTGTAGTCTGCCTCCCCATGTCTCACTTACCTGATCTGTGGGCTGTCTCTGCTGGCTGCACTCTGTGCTGCTCCCCTGCGGATGCAGTCAGGAAAAAGAAGCAGGAATAAGCTGTAGCTTCCTTTCCCTGCCTTTCTCCATTCACAGCGCCACCTACTGGCCGGCGCCGACATTGCACTGTATTCCCACACTGAAAGGAAAAATAGCAGCACAAGCTGGAAAATCCATGGGGGGGGGGGGGACTAAGTGCCCATTTACAGAGGTATTAAAAGTAAATCCAGACCTGTTCGGGAGCTCTGTAGATGTGTGAGTCACAATTGTGAATATATCTATGCATTTCCACACACCATAAAACATTAACACAAATTGTGTATTTACCTGTAAAAATAATATTGAATGGTTTTCATTATAGTCTTCGAGGGCATGGAGGGAATCTCGGGGCATTGCAAGGATTTTGGAAGTGGAGGGACAAATGTTTCAAGTGGACTGCTGTTTGCTATAACTGCCTGGGTCTATTTTATCTCCTTCTAGCCCTAGCAGAGAGGTGGAAAGGGATTTGAGGAGAGGAAATTGCATGCAATGGAAGCGACAAGTGGACTAGTGGAAATAAATTGGAAAGGGAAAGTGGCATTGGAAGGGCATAGATGAGGAGAAAAGTGAAGTGAACAAATAAAATATTAAGAAAAGGACTTGTTCAGTAGGCATGGACAGTGACAATGAGAGAGACAGTGACATGAGGGAGAGAAAATAAAAAAAAAATAAAAGCCCTACATTCACACATACACAGAAACCCCACATATACACCCCAAAATACACACAAAATAAAAGATACTCCTTTTTTAAGCCCTGCATTCAAAAATACACAGAAACTCCACATTTAAACTCTCACACTCACAAACATTCAAAAGCTATGCACATATAAACCCCACTTTCACAGACACATGCATAGCATCCATGCATACACACATAACTGCATTCACATATTCCTTACAAATATTTTGTATATTCACACACAGTGCCCCTCCACTCAAATACAATCTACATTCATAAACAAAGTGACATTCCAAGCAAATACTTACTGCATCTACAAACAAATTGCATTCACACACACAGTGGGACCCACCAAACATACATCCATGCATTCACACACAGTGACACTTCATAAACATACACCTATACATTCACACACAGTGGCACTCCACAAACATACATCCATACAGTCACACATCCAGCGGCACAAAGAATATTACATCCCAGAACTTCACAACATACACACAATATTGTGCATTGCTGATGAGGTTTTATTTTTCAATATGTTGAAACATATGTTGCAACTTATTTTACGCATAGTTAAACAACCTGCATGTTCATAGTTTGCTGTGGTATATTGCACTTACTGACAAGACAGCTTTCAGATAATGTCACACAACCTGATTCGCCACAATCCACTATGTTTTCTTCATTTTTACAAGTTTCTCCATTTCGGTAAGAGCAATCAATGCATCTGGCACTATAAACTAACGCAATATAATTTTAGTTTGTTACAATTTATTTCACTTTTAGTTTAGACTTTATCAATATTAATCAAAATAGAAATGGAACACATTTGACCAAACCTGAATTTGGTTAAAACAGATGGCATGCTTATTTCTTAATATAGTAACAATATACATGTACATTTAGGGTAGTGTTTTCTGCTTCCCGAATATCAATACCTCAACTAAGGTCTATGGATACATTGCTACCGTGTTTCCCCGAAAATAAGACCTACCCCGAAAATAAGCCCTAGCTGGATTATCGGGGTAGGCTGGAATATAAACCCTACCCTGAAAATAAGACCTATAGAGAGCGCTCAGACGGCTGCCGCACTGCCTCACCTCCCCTTCCCTGTAGCGTGGCCGAGCTCCTCTCCGGTCCGCGACCCGCCCGGACTGCGGACCGGATAGGAGCTCGGCCACGCTACAGGGGAGGTGAGGAGAAGATTGGAGGGGGGGGGAGTATTACAGTATTACAGGGAGGAGGGTAATATTACAGGAAGGGGGAGGATAATATTACTGGGAGGGAGGATAATATTACAGGGAGGGAGGAGGGATAATATTACTGGGAGGGAGAGAGTATTACCAGGAGGGAGGGAGAATATTACAGGGAGATGGGAGATAATTTTACAGGGAGGGAGGGGGGATAATATTACAGGAGGGAGGGATAATATTGCAGGGAGGGAGGAGGGGATAATATTACTGGGAAGGAGGGGGAGAGTATTACAGGGAGGGAGGAGGATAATACACAGGGAGGGAGGGGAGAATATTACAGGGAAGGGAGGGTAATATTACAGGAGGAGGGAGAGTATTACAGGGAGGGAGAGACACAGGGAGGGAGGGGAGAATATTACAGGGAGGATGGGGAATAATATTACTGGGAGGAGGGAGGAAGTGACACAGGGAGGGAGAGAGGGAGAATATTACAGGAGGGAGGGGGAGAGTATTACAGGGAGGGAGAGAGGGAGAATATTACAGGGAGGAGGGAGGGAGAGTATTACAGGGAGGGAGAGAGGGGAGAATATTACAGGGAGGGAGGGATAATATTACAGGGAGGGAGGGGGAGAGTATTACAGGGATGGAGGGGGGAGAGTATTACAGGGAGGGTGGGGAGAATATTACAGGGAGGGGGAGGTGAGGGTCTCTGGGGGGGTTACACAGCGCGGACACCGGCTGACAGACTGGCTCTAAGCCCTACCCTGAAAATAAGCCCTAGTGTGTTTTTTGTGCCTAAATTAATATAAGACCCGGTCTTATTTTCGGAGAAACACGGTATTTGGTAAAATTGATTGCTGATTATTAAAGAACCACTCCACACCCTAAAAAAACTTCAGCTTGCTTATGTGCTTTATGGGTGAGGAGTACCCTCATTTAAGCCCAGTTTATAAAAGTGCAGATTTAAATGACAAATCAGCACTTTTATAAATTAACTAGGGAACTCCCCCCCTGGCTGTCAAGGATTCCTTCCTACTTCCGTTAGCTCCCCTGTGCTCTACTTAAGTGTGCCTGCCTCCCCCTCCCTAACAGACCTCAGACCAGCTTCAGAAATGCACAAGTGGCAGGCGCGTGCATGTGGGGACCAAGTCTCTTCCAGAAAAAGGGGGAAGGGCTTACAAAGGCTGCAGTCATGAGAACTGCAGATTTGGAATCTATTTTAGGCTGTATCTCCAATGAATACATGCATAAAAATATACTTGTATGTATTTATTGGGGGTATATCTCCAAAATAGTGAGGGTTTTTGAGAGGGGGGTTGGAAGAGTGGAGTAGTCCTTTAAGTTGAGGAATACTTTAAATGATAAATGATAATATATGCTGCTAAAATGTAATTTAGAACAACAACAATGTACACAAACTGTTTTCAAAACACATTTATAGATTGAAGCAACAAGTATAAATATATAGTTTAAAGACACATTATTTTAAGTATTATTGATGAGGATATCTGTTATACACTCAAACACACTAACAATATCTCCTGAAAAAGATGGGCATTAGGGAAAAAAAGAGGCACAGCAAGATTAGGGCCAAATATAGGGAATATCCCAATAGGGACACTTGGTAGGTATTAGATTATTTTGTCAATCATGGATGCCTGTTTTTTTGTTTTTGTTTTTTGAAGCTACAACATTTGGTGAAGATTTAGGTGGATACCATAATTTTTTCTACACTGCATAGGGATCCCTGCAGGATTAGAGACATCATTAACCCAATAGTGCTTGCTCTCTTTTTTGAGGGGTGTGGTGGGTTTATTTATGTGTGAATTTTTAATTTCAATATATTTTGTGGGTGCATTTATTTGTATATTGTTTCTTTTGTATAGTTTGTGACTAAGGTATAGGTGTATGTACACACACGCACACATATATATGTCATATTTGGATTTTATGGTGATATGCTAATACTTATTTTGTTGGCAAGGGTGATGTTCTATAATATATGCTAATTAGCAAATTCAGTAAGAGAGTGTGATATCATTTTTGTATTTTGTTGTATATATTTGAGGACACCGTTTGGATGGTATGCCCAGATTGGCACCTTAAGCCAATAGAGTGGCAGCACCGAAATAAATTTGTCGTAAAAAACAATTTTAGCCAATGTGTCTACTAACAATATGTGTATAATGTAGATATTGCATATCATTTATCAGGTTGTTATTCATTTATTCACAGGACTATTCACTAACAGAGTTATTCAATAACATGAGAATTGCTGGGAATGCAAAGATAAATTTAAATTTAAGGCCAAAATAGTCAAACTAAAAGTGAAGCTTAATTGTAACATTTTCTTTTTTGCAACTTGGCCTTAAATTTTAAATTTACTTGGAATTCCAAACAATTCCCACTTTATAGAATAACCCTGATAATTGTATAAAATAAGAAAATGAGGGAAATGGTAATACAATATATGTTAAACTGCCACAATGTCCCATGACTGTTCTGAATCTATTGTAATTTGAATAAAAAATCTCACCTGTGGATAGCAGAGATGATAACATACAGAGCAGTAGGATAACGGATGTCATGATGTCTGACTGTCAGAACTCGTTCTTTCTGCGTTCAACTGGATGTTTTCAAAATCTGGGAAAACTCACTCAAGACAGTTATATTTATACTTCAATCCTGAAGATGAAGTCCTCATAATATTATTTATTTTCTTTTTGAACTTCTCAGATAGTCAACAGAAGACAAGGAAATAGCAAAAGAACGGGCAAGAAGCCAATGTTTAGTTGGCATCCTATTTTTTTCAACAACAAAGAAGACCTAACAGAAACCATGCCTTAAAGGGACATGCCACTGCCCAAATACAGAAGACCTTTTTTTTTTTTTATTAAAATCACTCGCAAAATCACAATAATCCAATAACCAGAAGTGTATTCCCAAAAACACCCCAGACAGACTCAACAGGCACAAACAGCAAACCAAATGGTTTATCTAGCAAATGCAATTATCAATAAGGTGTTTGATACAAAAGAAAAATAAAATATTGAAAGTGTAACAGCACAATATGGAAGCATGCACTTTGACTTTCAATTTATCCCATGGGTTATAATTTTAAATGAATTTGGTCAAAATTGAAATTAGAAAAAATCTTAGCTTAATAATTATGTTCAATAGCATGGGATTATTATTTGTACCATGCAACAAAAGAAAAAAATACATAGTATAAAAACCCTTTTCTATACACTATAATATTAAAACAAACTAAAAAAGCTTGCAACAATATTGATGGGACCTGTATGGTTTTAACCCCTTAGTGACCAGACGGTTTTGCAATTTTCTTTTTTTTTACATTTCTGCTGTGTTTGTGTTTAGCTATAATATTCCTCTTACTCATTTACTGTACCCGCACATATTATATACAGTTTTTCTCGCCATTAAATAGTCTTTCTAAAGAAACCATTATTTTTATCATATGATATAATTTACTATAAAACAAATTCTAAAATATGATGAAAAGATTTAAAAAAACACACTTTTTCAAACTTTGTCCCCCAAAATCTGTTACGTATCTACAATCGACAAAAAAACACCCAGGCTAAATAGTTTAAAAATGTTGTCCTGAGTTTAGAAATACCCAATGTTAACATGTTCTTCACTTTTTTTTTGCAAATTATAAGGCAAAAAGTACAGTAGCACTTTGCTATTTCAAAAACATTTATTTTTTCAAAATTAACGCTTACATTGTAACACTGATATCTGTCAGGAATCCCTGAATAACCCTTCACATGTATATATTTTTTTTAAAAGAAGACAACCTAAGGTATTAAACCTGGAATATTTTGACTTTTTTCATGCAACCATTTTACCAGCAATTTATGCCAAATTAAAAAACAAAATAATAGTGATTTTTTTTTTACATATAAACATAGCACTTTAAGAATACATGTACTGAGAACTTTAAGGGTTACTGTCTCAGAACACCGCAATATGTGTTCAGCGACATCTCCTGAGTACAGTGATACCACCGATGTACAGGTGTGTCAGGTTCTCTGGGGGCTAAAATACCTTATTTGGAGGGTGCGCATTCCAGTTTTCCAACTTGGAATTTTCACAGCTGGTCATCATGCACCCATGTCCTATTTGGGACATTTTTGAAGCCGGCCAATGTAATTTACGCCATCAAATTATATATTTGTGAAACATAGATACCCTTGGGCATTTTAAATGGTGTATTTTAACACTTTCCATGCACTGAATTTACCATCGGACTTTGTCAAACTTTTCGGTAGTCATTGTTTGTGTTATTTTCCTCTCACATTGTACTTTAGGCATGAATTAAAAGATCCTGTTATGTGTCACTGCCAAACAACACCCCAATACGTATTCAATAACATCTCCTGAGTGCAGTGAGACCACCCATGCATAGGCTTGCTGGGTCTTTAGATGGCTAAAAGGCCACATTTGGCAGGTGCGCATATCCGTTTTCCAACTTGGAATTTAGACATGTAGTCAACTTGCACCCATGTCCTATTTGGGCCAATGTATTTTACCCCCATCAAACCATATTTTTTTGAAAAGTAGACAAGCCAGGGTATTTTAAATTGTGGTATTTTAACACTTTTCATGCACTGAAATCTACCACCAGCCTTTATCAAACTTTTGGATAGTAATTTTCTTTGTGTTTTTTTCACACACATTGTACTTTAGTAAGAAGTGTAGAAAAAGCCCCAAGAAAGCTTTTAACCTCAGAAAGTGGAGCGCAAAAGTAGTGGAAATGTGACCACCTACCCTAAGTGGGAATACAATAAAATTATTAGCAAGCTTATATTTTTTTTTAGTTCCAATAAAAGTCACGGTACATATAAAAGACAAAGATAAGGAAAATACATAGCATAATACTGTATTAGATAGGTGAAATAAATAAAACTGTATATTGCCAACTCACATGGAGTAGAGCCTCACATAGGACAGGCTCAGATCTCTTTGGCAGTAATGTCTTTTAATGACACTTTCCCTTTTAACTCCAAGTGGTGTTCCTCAAAAAAATGAGACAAAATGTGACAAAACATGAGATGCCTACTAGTGTAGTACATCACAGGGTACAGTGAAGAAGTATAACAGTACAGATGTTTTCTCACCTTATAAGAGCCTATAAACCTGGCTCTGGCTAAAATAGTTGGGTATCTCTAAAGGGGACAGAGTCCTTCTTTTAAGCAGCAAAGTGGAAGGACTCAGTGTAACGATGCCTTACCTTTCCTCCTCGGTCCCGCGCCGCACAGCATCCTCTTCCAGCGAGCGGCACAGCCCTTCCGACGCCGGCCACTCACGCCGCACATATTTTTATAATACGGCAAGTAAATGCCGACGTCGGTCACACGCAACCACGCCCCCGGACCTTCTGGCGGCGTGGTTTTAAAGAAAAATACCCCCCGCTATAAAAGGGAGCCCCTGTCACTTGCAAGGCGCCCTAGTGTGGTTCTTATTAGTACCTCTAGTGCTTTTACTCTCCTTTAGTGTTAATTCCCTGGTTATTGACTTTTGGCTTTCCCTTTTGACTACTCTGCTCTCTGGTTTCCCGTACTTTGGCTAGGTCTTATCGTTTGTCCGTCTTCTGTACTCCCTTGATCTCTGGCTATCCATTTGACTACTCTATACGTTAGTCCGGCCACTCTAAGGTCCGGTATACGTTCTTCTCTGGGTTACATTCTGTGAGAAGGGGTCACTGTCGTGACACTCAGAGTAGACTTAAAATAAATTTATTACATAAAAAGTACTGCTATAGCAGAGATAAAAATAAACAATAAAAATAGTACTTAAGAGTCTCTCTGTGGCAAAGTCCTGAATCAAATCCAACACGCGTTTCACACTATATAAGTGCTTTTTCAATCAGTATGCTGCTGTAGATCTTGTTCCATTTTAAATATGGTGGCATTGTCATTCATTGGTGGTTCTCTGTGGAGTTTATCCAATCAGAAGCCCGTGATTCAAAGGTGTATATAGCACAGCTGATTCCTATAACTTCCTTTTGTGCATACCGGAAGTGACTCACTGCACGTCAGCAGCGTCACTTCCGAGGTCGAAAGTTCCCAACTTGTGTCTGGGCAAAATGGTAATACCATATCGGAAGACGGAGTTGCACAACAGACTTGTGCATGTCACTCCTCCATGCCCGACGGAGCCTTATTCAAATAGGGAAAAAGAAAGGGCAATAAGATTAAAGCTGCTAATGTCTGTTCGGAAATCTTTTATACATATAAAACATAAAAAGAAGACAAAGGCACACGTGGGAAGGATAGAGGAAATGTATATAGTAATTACCATTGTGGTATAGTGTGAATTTGGTAAAGCTTAAAGGCCACGATAGAGACTTGTGCATGTCAGTTTTTCAACTTGATATATAGGTATACTTGGCCTATCTTTAGTTTGTTGTTTTTTTGCATCCCCCAGTTAGTGTTATCATCATGAAATTATATAATTTTATCAAGTAGACATTCCAGGGTATTAATAACAACGAAGAGAAAAGGTGTATAGATGGCGTTATAGATAAAATAGTGACGTATATTCCAGTGAGTCTCAAACCACACAAGTGTTATATCACCTCAAACACTTACATCAAATATGGAAAAAAAAAAGAGAGGTTGGCGCACACAATGTTTAGTTTTTCAATAATCTGTAATAAATATAACAGAACCTTCATAGGGCAACATATATGAGAAAATGTTCAAATATATTTATAACAGGAAAAACTCACAATTTGGAGAGCCATATAAGTCTTCTCTCTACTGTAATAGCAGGTAAGTAGCTCCAGAACGACAAATAGCCACAGTGGTGATGGTCCCCCAGGGAAAAAGATGCTTCAAATCCACCTAGAGTTTGCCAAATTCTGCTCCCTGCCTTCTCACATCTAGAAACTCTCCTGTCATCTAGAAACTCTTCTGTCATCTCCTGGTATCAAAAAAATGCATAGCACATAAAAATTAGTCTGGGAAGCAATCTCCTCCCAGATGGTATCCCCTAAAAATAGCTCCATTGCATAGGGGAGAAGTCATCCACATTGACATTAATGCCTGCGTTGGCACTACAAGAGGGGATGTTGGGCTTAGCTTACTGTGGAAGTACCCAGTCCTGGCTCTGGCTAGCAGGGAAAGCACAGCTTCTTTTTGCAGCTGGCTCACACACAGATGATGTGTCACTAGAAAACTGACCTAGGTCAAAAACGGATGCAGTGTTAGTGACGTCAGAGTCTGACACTAAGAAGACATATTCCTCCTCCAAGCTGTACATGCCCTGCATGTTTCACCAACACACTACCTGACACAAAATTAACAAATTACTAACAAATTTTTTGTAACACACACTTTGACAGCAACCAATTGTGAGCGATTGCGTGTCGCTCACACAGCGTAATTGGCTGTTACTATCTGCCTGGCATGCCTGGCAGATTGTAACAGCAGGATTTCGGCGGAAGCGATCTCTCATCGCTCCTGCCGCTCGTTTTTCGTGATGACTTTTCAGGACCGTCACCGGTCCTCAAGGGGATGTTACCGATGACGGTCTTGATCCATCATCGGTCCTTAAGGGGTTATTATAGTTCTCTACTACTATACAATGTTATTAAGCCATTAT